GATTCCCCGTCAGGGCACATGCCTGGGTTGCAGGCTTGATCAATGACTCTGTCATCATTGATGTTTCTATCTCTCTCTCCCTCTCCTGTCCTCTCTCTGAAATCAGTAAAGACATATTAAAAAAAAAAAAAGCATATAGAGGGATCAGGGTCATTTTCTGGCCACTTTTACCTTCAAAGAATGTCACCCAATAGGGGCCCAACAGAAGCGGGTCTGTCCTGGCATGGTCTGGAATGTGTAAACCATTTGCTCCTAAGTGTTCTTGGTTAGGGAAGATAAGACCCTGATCTGGCGGTATATTGCTCAGCTGTCTGTTTAGCTATCTGTCTGTTTACCCATTCCACTTGCCAAGGAAATTTCCTAGCTTCTTACTAACCTGCTTCAAGTGAACCTGTCTTTTGGGGTCCACAATTCAACTCACTACTACATATTAGTGGTCATGTAGTATTCCTTCCTGTTCATATGTTGGCCCATTCAGTTCTTTCCAATTTTTTGCTAATATGAATAATGGCTCTAAACAGATTATATATGAAAATGCCATGAAACAGTGCTATTATTTTCCTTGCGGGTTATTTTCTTGAGGTAGTTTTCCAAAATGGATTTACAATATCAATGGTGAGAACAGTTTTCTAACTCTTTTTACATCCTGCAGAGTGTGGTCCAGAAAGACTGGATCACTTTGCAGTACCCATAGTAATGTGTTAAATAACAGAGAAAGAGAGAAAGAGAGAGAGAGAGAATGAATATGAACATGAATGAATTCAGTGAATTGTTTTAGTGTCTGACAGGAGGAAAATATATAACAAGTGAAGAATTAATTATATGCAGAATACCAAGGCCTCAGAGACAAGAAGTTAATGACCCAACTGCCTTATCTTTCTTAAGGTGCCACTTTATTCCACACAGATATTCTGGTGCATTTTTCAAGGTTGGCAGCTGAAGAAGGTGGTTACCTGATCTGTAACAGAGCCTTAGATGCAATGAGGGTAAGGGCTTCAGCACTGGCTTCTGATCAGTAGTAACTGGAATGTGGTGAAGGTGAAGTAATTTCTTTATAAGGCCTAAATCACACTGTTATGAAAGGTTGCTTCCTCATAAATAGCCTGAATTTGACTTTAGTTTCTTCACCTGCAAAAAGGGTTAGTCAGGGTTCTCCAGAGAAATAGAGTATATATACTGTTTCAGTATCTGACAGGAGGGAAATATACAAGTGAAATATTAGCTATATACAGAATACTGAGGCAGGATAGAAAGAAGTTAGGGAAAGTTCCCAACAAGTGGAATGAGGTAGTAGGATCAGACATCACAGGCCAATAAACCGATAGGTCCTCTCATCAGAGCCCCCACCTCCACCCATGATCAAAGGGAAAACAGTTTATGGCAAGAAACTCCTTCGGGGTAACAGAAGTCAACCGCAAGGACTGGCAAAAATCAGTTCAACCCAAGATAAAGGGAAAACTGACCAGAGACTGATCCCAAAGCTCATTATACTATCATTATAATAAAATCTGATACCACAAGTAGAAGGGGGTCAAGGGGATGAATGCCATGACACTTCTGAAGCGAATCATATTAGGAACAAGACCCACACCCCCCTAACCAGAAGGTGGAGTCAAAATTTGGTGCTACAAAGTTCAGAAACAGTCTACCCATCCCAAGAACTGACTGACCACGTGCACAACTCACTCTTGAATTAGCCTGTGTCCACTTGGACATGTACTTTTGCTTCTTTCACAGCAGTGCATCCTAGTCTCTCTGTCTCTACCTGAATAAAATTTGCTTACTCTCACTTGGACTCTCACTCAGACATGTTCTTGAATTCTTTCCTGTGCAAGTCAAGAGCCTGCAGATCCTGGACCCTGCTGGGGCAGGGCCAGCTCCCAGCATGGAACCAGTCCAGTGACAATACCAAGGTCTCGGAGAGAAGGTAATGATCAGACTGCCTATCTTTCCTATGATGCCACTCCATCCCATACAACTCCTTTGGTGCAATAACTATTTACTATAAATAATTATTTAATATAAATATTTATTATAAATATAACAAATATTATAAGGAATTGGCTCACATGATTATGGAGGTTGAAAAGTCCTAAGATCTGCAGTCAGCAAGCTGGAAACTCAGGAGAGTTGATGGTTTAAGTTCCAGTCCAATGGCAGGAGAATACTAATGTCCCAGCTCAACAGTCAGGCAGTAAGCCCTTTCCTCTTACTCAGCCTTTTTGTTCTACACAGGTCTTTAGTTAATTGGATAAAGTCTATGCACACTGGGGAGGCCAAGGTGCTTCATTCAGTCTACTGATTCAAACGTTAATCTCATCCAGAAACACCCTCACAGACGCACCCAGAATAATGTTTGACCAATTGTCTAGGCATCCCATGGCTCAGTAAAGTTGACACACAAAATTAACCATCATAGGGACTAAAATAGTATGTCCTTCCTTTTTTCAACACTACTACTTGGGGAGAAAGGCATAGGATGAAGGGGGATAGGGGAAGTTATCAATGAGATCCCATTTCCACAGTCAAATAATTACAAGGCAGAGGACTTAAAAACCAAGAAGTGAACATTTTTTAATTCCAAAGACTCTAGGTCTCTTAGTCTGCCCTAGCTGCTATAACAAAATACCATATACTGGGTGGCTTAAACAACGGAAATTAATTTTTTCACAGTTCTGAATGCAAGAAGTCTAAGATCAAAGTCCAGTAGGGTCAGTTTCTGGTGAGGCCTCTTTTCCTGTTTTGTAGATGGCCACCTTCTTTCTCTGCCCTCACATGGCCTTCTTCTGTACATATGTACTCCTGGTGTCTCTTCCTCTTCTTGTAGGGACACCACCAGTTCTGTTGAATTAGGGCTCCATTCTTATGACCTCATTTAACCTTAATTACCTCCCTAAAGGCCCTGTCTCCAAATATCTTGGGGGTCAGGGACTCAGCATATGAATTTGGGAAGAGGACACAATTCATTCCATAACAGCTACCCTTCTTTTTATCTCCCTGGAACAAAAAAATGCTGTATCTAGCAATTATGGTGTAGTCATGGCTCCCTCCATTCCTAAACCTCATAAAGGGAAAGATGATGAGGTTCAAAGGGCCTCATTATAATGAAAGACACTTAAATACCACCCTAATGGCTAGTATTATAATTTTTATCCTGAGACATTAAGAAATGTTCATAACATATTTGCTGGTTCACAAAAAGAACTTGAAAAATCAATTTGTTCAGCAATGTTTGTTAAGTGTCTTTGTTTCTCTTGACTAGCTACTTTGATGGAGAGAACACAAAGCTGAATATGACAATCCTGCCTTCAAGGGGTTCCAATTCTGTAGGAATGTTTTAACACATACACACACACATCTCTAGAATCCAAAGTAGAAAGTGATCAATATAATGGAAGAAGTCATAGACTATGGTATGGGGATTTGGAAGAGTGATAAATATATAGTCATTATTCTTTATTGAGCATTTATCATGTGCTTGGCAGTTAGCTTTATCATGATTCTCAGTTTTCAGGATCTTAGTTATGATGGACAAAGATTATAATATACTATTGTATGTATCAATGGGTAAAACATTATAAATGGTACTCTCAGATTCAAAGATGATTAAGATGTGTCCCGTCTTCTAGAAATTCATAAATAGGAAAATATACAAATGGGTGGTCAGCAGAACAAATTGAAACATAAATAAATAAGTAAATAATCTCATTCTCTACTGGCCAGAGAATTCTCTGAGTTGTTGCAGGGAGAGTAAATCTGTATCTGTGCTTGGGAACTTAGAGAGTCACCATGTTTGATCAGAGCAGCTGATGTAGTAGTAGTATGTAGTAGTATCTTGCAGAAAAGCCACAAATTTGCGTGTAGTGACTTGGTGGTTGGTGGCCAGATGCCTGATGAAGTTGGGAGAGAAGACAGGAGGTTAGTCACACATATCAGCACACATTGGTGGACAATTTTGCAGTGAGACCAAGAACTGATAGACAATCATCCAGCCCACCACCAAACTGGGGGGAGAGGAGGGAAAGTAGAGGGAGGTTCAAAACAGTGGTGAAAATCACAAGTGTGAAGAGAGGGTTCTTACCCAGGCCAGACCTTGTTCTCCCCACCCCTCTCAACTAGAGGGAAGGTGGGGGAAATCCCTTGCAGTTCAGTGTCATTTGTGTCCAGGAGACAAGTTCCTATTACCGGACAAAGAGGCATCCAGAACCCTGATTCATTCTGTACTTTCTGGATGTAAAAGTAGGCAGAGGGAGTGATGATAAATGGATCAAGAAACAGATTTGGAAATAATGGTGGAGGGGTTATGTACCCTGATAGAATAGTAGAAACAGGAACAAGTAAAATATTGAGCACCTGCTTTATAAAGTATGTGATCTCATTTAATTCTCCAATGACCAGGTAGGTCTTGATGTGGGTAGAAACAGGCTTCCAGGGCAGAAGTGCAACAACCTGCTCAAGCCCTCCTGAGCAGCAACAGCAGAGCAGAGCGTGGAGCCTGCCCTGCACCACCCCCACCACTTCTGTGCTCGCCTGGGTTGAGGGGGAATGCTATTAACTAAACCCCAACCAGGTGCCTTTCCTGCCAGGGCCAGCCCTTCTTGGCAGCCCTGTTGCCCCGTTTGGCAACAGGAAGAGAATGAAGGTTTGGCAAGCGACGAACATTTTGTCTAACGGTATTTTCACACTTCTTTCCTAAGGAGCTGGAGTAATAACGGCCTGTATCCCGAGTGCAGGAGTGCTCTTTGATAACAGACCGGCTCCCTGGCGGAGAGGTGCAGAACCCAACAGCGCAGTTTCCATGGCGCCCCGCCAGATGGCTGCGCGCAGAGGCCAGGGGGGTGGGGCCGTGCGCGGGTGGGGAGGAGCCACTGTGACTCCCTGGGTTCCTCCCCTCCGCGGGCACTGTGATGCTGAAGAGCAGCTGCTGGCCCAGCAGGTCAGTCCCCAGCCCCCTCCGGCCCAGTGTGTCACAACAGCGGAGGCGGCTGTACCCGGAGCAGTTGGGGTGGGCAGGCCCAGCTGGGAGGCGAGCCGGCGGAGAGAGCGGGCGAAGAGAGGCCGAGATGGTGAGCCTGCGGCGCAGGGGCAGGGCCTGGGCGGGCGCCCAGCCGAGAGCCACATCTGTGACGGGGCTATCGGGTCCATCGCTTTGGATCTGTAGAGTTTGAAGTGTCCTGGGGCTGTCAGTTCAGGGGTGGGAGTCCGCACCTTGGGGGCGTAAGACACCTGGTGCCAGTACCATTTTTCGTGGAGAGAAAGTACTGATCTGGGGCAGGTCGTCCCTCAAAGGGATCTAATGGAGATTTGTGCACATGGGTGAAGTGAGGGAGGACATGGGAGCCCAGCGCAGGGCAGGGGAGATTCTGAGGGATCCCCAGATGGGCAGCTCAGAACAAGGGGAGAAGGGGCAATCCAGGGGTTCAGGATGGGCCCGTGGCTGGGGGAATGGGCGCAGTCAGCTTACTACACCCAACCAACCACGAGTGTCAGTGTCCCAGAATGTGACAGGGGACTTAGGGTATCACAGTCACCCCAGGCTTGGGCTAGTTCTCCTTTCCTGTCCCCACCATCTGGCTCGGGTTTGGGGCACTTACAATTTGAGCGTGCTCAGCTTCCTAGGCACTTGGAACCCACGCCAACTCCCCAGTTTTTCTAGCGGTCAGTCATAAGGACTTTGGCACATAGACGTCTCCCTCCCGCACGCCAGGGGAACTTGGACTTCTAGTTTTGTTTCCTACCCTGGCTTAGGGGGCTCAGAAAAGGCTTGGTTCCCCACGCAGCATCTGTCGCCTTTGGCAGACACGGATCTTGCTTGCTGCGAGGAGGCCTCTCCGCCCTCCTAGTTCCACCCTCAAGAATCCCTCCACTCACCCCACACCTGGGGTGGGTAACAGTCACCTCCAATCCACTTCTTTGTCTGCTTGGGAACCCAGAGTTTCCTGGTCCAGAGTCCTAGTATTTCAGCAGTAGGGAGGTGGGTTGGAAAAGCTGGGAGGGGCAGGGGGACAGAATAAGCCTGTCTCTGAGGCCAAGGTGAGGTTCCCTGGGCACTCTTGATTCAGGCAGACCACGGGAGAACCTCCCCACTTCCCCTGGCCTCTGCTCATTGAGGAAAGTGCCCAGAGCCTTCTGTCTCTGGCCCCAGCTCTGCTGTTTCTAGCTCCAGATCTGTCCAACACCCTCCCTCTTCTGAGCATGCTCCTGGACACACCTGGAAGATTTAAGAACTCAGGGATATTGGGAAAGTGGCTAGAGGAATCTGTTTCTGCCTGAAGCCTCTTGTGAGGGACCATAGAAGGAGCCCAGGCTGGGAGTTCAGAATTTTGGCTCCTGGTCTGCAGCTGTGTGACTTCAAGAAGGTCACTTAACCTCTCTGGACTTTTTTTCTCACCTACAATATAAAGAAAGGTTATGGTTCAGATTTGCAAGGCTCCACCTAGCTTTACTTTTTTGTTTTTTCTTTTCCATTGTAGTATCTTTATAGCAGCTTTACATAGTTATATGTACAGCAGTTATACATTTATACCAGTTGTCAACTATACATTTACTGGTGTGGTATTTGATTACTCTTTTTCTTCCACTAGGCTGTAAGCTTCATGTTTTCAAGGAAACATGTTTGCTCACTATGGCCAAATGGGCATCGATTCTCTAACAAGAAAAAGAATATTTTCCCTGTCCTCAAGTACCCTGCAGGCTTACAGAGACCAGACTGGTGGTTGCCAGAAGGGAGGAGGGTTGAAGGGTGGGTAAAAAAGATAAAGGGACTAAGAAGTACAAAATGGTAGTTACAAAGTAGTCACAGTGATGTAAAGTACAGCACGGAATATGGTCAATAGTATTGTGATAACTGTGTGGTGCTAGGTGGGTACTGGAAATATCATGGGGAACACTTTGTAAAGTGTATGATTGTCTTAATCACTATGCTGTACACCTGAAACCAGTACAAAATAACAGTAAAAGTAAACTATAATTGAAAAAAATATTTTAAAAATTAATTAATTAAAAATAAATGAGCCCTACAGTCTTGTGGGAGAAACAGAATAAAGCAGCCATGGTGGTAAAGGATGTTCATTGCTGGGATGGGCATGAGCACAAGGTTAGAGCACACAGGACAGGAGGAGTCCCTAATCCAATAGTGGGGGTCCAGGGACACTTCCTCGAGCTGGTGACGTCTGCAGTAAGTGATAAAGGATGGGTCGTTGTTCAGGCACAGGGCAGCAAGTGTACCGCACGCCGTGGGGGCAGCAGGTGCAGATCCAGAGAAGCAAGAGAGAGTGTGGTGGCTTTAGGGAACCATAGTTACATACAGCAGGACATGGAGTGGGGCAGGGGAAAGATGGTGAGATGGGTCTAGACAGGCCAACAAGGTCTTCACTATAGCTTTAGAGGCTGGAAAGAGTTTGCATTTTGCCATGATGGAAGCTGAGAATCAGAAAATTTTAAAGCAGTAGAGTGCTTGATGGGGGTGATTTTATAAATGTCACCTGGCAGTGCTGTGGAAAATGGAGTCAGAGAGGGGTGGCAGGACGAGAGGCAGGGAGACTGTGTAGGAGGCTGTTGCAGTGATCCAGGTTGAGAGCTGGTGGTGCCTGAACGAAAATCCTGGCAGGGAGGTGGGCACTGGAACCATGTGAGAAGGTGCAGAGGAGAAGGGGTGGTCAAGGAGGATCCCCACATTCCTGGCTCAGGAAGTGAGTGTGAGCTGCTGCCATTCACTGAGGCAGAGGGAGCCCCAGAGGGGGATCCACTTAGAGAATAAAATGCAGGTTCTGTGTCAGACCTGTTGAGAGGAACCTGGGCTTAAATAGGTTTGGAAATTAGGAGAGAGAGCTCGGCTGGCTATACTGATTTAAGGTTGGACTGTGGACTTGATTAGATCACCCAGGGAGAGTGTGCCCCGTGAGAAGGGACAGAACCTTAAGAGCATACGCGTTAATAAGTGGGTAGAGGGGACACTGAGAAAAAGCATCCTGGAGCCTTTAAGCTGTGAGGTTATGGGAAGCAGGAACTTGTCCTTATGTCTGTACCCACAATGCCTACCTTTACTTTTAAACTTTTATTATACAGAATTTCAAACATTAAAAAAGAGAATGGTATAATGAACCCCTGTATATGACTCATTCAATTTCAACTATTATCTACTTATGATGAATATTGCTTCATTTATTTTCCTTTCCCTCTCTCCCCATTATTTTGATGCAAATCCTAGGCAGGATACTCAAGATTTTATATTTAATATTTATAATATCTAGCTTTATAATTTTCAAAGTGCTTTCTCTTACATATTCTAATTTTTAGCTGAACATCTTAGTGACTTTCAGAGTGGAGCTTAAGGGAGGATTACAGGGGAGCCAAGAGTCATAATCTAGTCCTCTGAGCAAACTTTGATGTGTATTCAATAGGCACATTTCTGAAAATACCTGGAAAATAAAAAATTTAAACAGTAAAACCTTATTTAAATGTGCTAAAGAATTTGGATGTTTAAAAACTATAGTTGAATATATTGAAAAGAGAATGTGTTTTATTTATTTTGAAACATTGATTTTTGTATAACAGATTCTATTTAGAATATTTATTGCATGGGCAGCATTGTCTTGATGGGAAAACATTTTTTATTGACATTTCCCACTCACAGAACCTCTTTTGAAATGACACATCTATAAATCTAGACCACAGAATTCCACCCTTGCAGAAAGGACTTTACCTCATGAGGTCGGGGATGCGGGTGGGGTCGGGTGGGGTGGGGAGGCTGCCTCTCTATTATGGAGCATTAAATTCAGCATTTTTATAGGTTCTGGCCAAGAGATCTATAATTAACTCTATAACTGAGCATTCCTATCTGCTCTCAGTGTCCCCCTAGAAGCAGTGCTTCTAGAACTTAGATTCTTGACACCTTTTTTGGGAAGTGGTATGGAGAAACCTGGTCAGTTGCCCTGAGTCAAGCCTATGTCAATGATACAAGGGTTCAGAGGAAATGTCTGGTTAAGGGAGGTGAGAACATGTGTAACAGCCTCTTTAACTGCATTCCTTCTGGACTGGGGAGCACCAGGCGAGTTTGGATGGGAATAGGCGTCAAATAGCAATAAAGAGCCTGTCTCCTGCAAAAATGGGCAGCTAAAGGGCAGAGTGTTCTGGGGACAAGATGACACTGCTTCTGTATCTGCTGTCCTCTGCAAACTGCCCCTTTGTAGGCAGGCATGGCTGAGTTCTGCAGGGTGTATACTTATATTTTGACCTCAGAGCACTGTTTGAGGTTTCCAAGGGGCTGCCAGTTACTGCTGTATCCTTCGTCCCTATCACTAAGTGCAGGTTCTTATAGAGATCACTGAATATATGCCTCTGAGCAGTGGAGGGGCCTAATAAGCAGAGCTCCTCCAGGCCATGTATGGGGCAAAGGTGCAGGGTGCATTTTCATAGGAAGCTACCAGAAGGGAGAGTCAGGGAGGGTTAATGCTGATGCTGAGGGTCCTTTCAGAGGGGACTCCTGAGTGACCCTGACAGGAAGATGAAAAGTTAAAAATAATTTTCAAGGAAGAAATACAGGGCCAGTGACGGGTGAGTGGGAGTATGTGGAGGAAGGAAGTGGACCAACTGCTTATTTTCCTTTAGGCCACGAAGGGTGTGATAATGCTATCTGCAGCCTTGACATTTTCCCTGTTGGTGTCTTCCTGTTAGAATTTCTCCCAGATAACGAGCTGTGGCAGAGAATGGGAAACAGAGTGGGCACTGTGTAAATCAGATTAACACTCCTTAACTATCTCCTGCACTTGTCCCCAATGTCAGTTAAAGCTCAAGGGCCTTTTGACATCACTGGGTCTCCTGCAGGGAGTCTGCTTACCCCTGGTATTCCTAATGTTGGTCTATGTCATCCCTGCTGAGACCCTAACTGCAGTGCTGCCTTCACTCATTGATGTGAATTTAGGCCAACTCCTTGTTCTTGCTGTTTCTGATTTGTTATCTATTATTTGTTCTGAATAATTCCAAATATGCTGTAATTGAAGGGTTTTGAGTAGAGATAATTAAAACAATTTTTGATGAGTCACATTTGTTCTCACTTTAATTATCT